GCCGGGCATTTAAATGGAGCCGGAGCCTGACGTAATCTCCTATCTCGCCTCCTGATGCTCGCATTCCATGAGAACAGTGATGATCACTTCTCTCTCTCTCTCTCTCTCTCTTTCTCTTGTCTCTATCTCTCCTCGTCTGCGTATGTGCGCGTGCATGCACGCCAAATGAAAGCGCTCTCTATCCTCCTCTTCACGGAGTGCCTAGCCGCTCCGTTTTGCTCCGCTCCGGTCCTCCTCCGCCGAGAGTTCTCGCTATCGTACGAGTCATCGCACGATCGCGCGCCGTGTGCCACGAAGAAAGGGCGCTTTCACGAACATCAGAGGAACAACGTCAGTACGCGAGATTCACGATCCTCCCTCTCCCCCCCCCTCTCTCCTCTCTCCCTCTCTCTCTCTCTCTCGTCGTAGTTTGCCCTCCGCGCCGCGCATACGGAAAAGTTGGTGAGATAAAACGCGCCGAGGAGCGAGGGAAAGGGGGAATTTCATAAATCGCGTTTAACAGAGCGACGCAGAGAAGTGACACGAATTTTAATTCGCGGCCTCTCCGAGTCGCGGGAGGGAGGGAAAGGGGGAAGTGAGAGGGGGATCAGGCGCCGCATCATGCGGCGGCGTTGACAAAACGCTTCAAATGAACGTTGAATAAACGTCGAATAAACACCGGCCGCAAATTGGAGCGGCGCGGCGGCACATAATAGCTGTTACGTTCAGTAATGTTTCAACGGTAAATCCGGTACTTCTATTATCGCTATCCTGGAAAAAAAGAGAGAGAGAGAGAGAGAAGAGAATTTAAAAAAAACCCCGCAGGTAAGCGCGTGGACCAGGCCGCTTCATAAGTTGCAGCGTTTTACAGAGCGACGCCGTAAACTTGCGCGTTAAAGCGAATTTTAATTTGGCTTAAGCGTGTATTTTGTGCAGCGGAGCACTAAAAAAGGAAACGTTCAAACCACGTACGCCAGTGAATAAAACACGTAGACGTGTTAAAAATACTTGCATCACAGTCACGGCGCGGCACAAACGTTACTCTAATGCAAATGTTAATTATAGCTATTTAGTGCGATTATTTCTGTTACGTGTTTTTCTTAAATCTCGCCGTCCACGACTGTATAGGCTAGAAATTCGCTCGCGGAGATCTCGGACGGAGAGAGAATTGGCCAATCGCATTTGAACAATTCGACCAATTGACCAATGCGATTGGCCAATTCTCTCTCCGTTCGAGATCCCAAAGCGATTTCTAGCATCGTGGACAGAAGGCTTTAGACACAACTCGTCTAGGTGTATATATATATATATCATGAACTGTAACAATTCATCTCTTCGCGACGTTGTACTTGAAATTTACAATTTTTCTCTTTTTCTGTTGCAGATCTGGAGATTCATACCGATTCATCAGCCGAGAAAGAACGATAATAGCAGGAAGCTCGATAATACACGCATCTAGGAAAAGCGACTCTTCAACATAAAGTCTTTCAAGAGGATCAATTTTTATTTTTAAAATAAGTTTGAAAAAATATTTCATCATATAGATTACTAAATCATATTATTAAATCGTATTTACAAGAACGAAGCCGCGGGGAGATGCACTTCTTCCAGAAAGTGTGAGCGAGATCTTTGTCTTAAAGTACAGAAACACGGAGGAAAATTTCATATCCTCGCTCGTTCGGGACATTTATCTCAGCGGGGAACAAAAAGCGTTTGGCGCTCTGTTTTATTCGTATACGATATCCGTTGTGTTGCCGCGTCCGACGTCAATGGGAGGAACGAGAGGCCAGTGCTGCACTGAAGAAACTTGGAAAAATGTTGGGCGCTTACAGGCGGGCCTGACTCTTTGCTCGGCCCGTACCTTTTAACGTTGGGTGAGCAAAGTTTCAGGTGTGTTTGTGCCGCGCCGTGACGTCGTGGCGCGTAGCGGAGGAAGGAAATAGCGAGCGACCTTTTATACACGATTATCGGGGAGCCCGGCGTGTCTTGACGGTACTCTTACGCCTGAAATTTGCTTTTTTTACCTGGCCTCTGCGCTCTCTTACTTTGAGAAAATAAAGGTGAGCAAAGTTTCAGGTGTGTGAGTGCGTTAAATTTGTCGGCCACCGCCGACACGCCGCCGCGCCGGTTCGAACCCCGCACGTCGATTCGCCGCACCGCGGCCGCTACGGCCGGGGCCAAAGACAATTCCGCCGACGGCCGCTAATTAAAGTCATTGTAATTTCTCAAAAGCGACGAACAAAAGGGATATACGATTGGATTGTTTCGCGATAATACACGATATTATTGTGCGATAAATTACTCCGAAATACGGCGGTGATATTCAGGCGCGCGGGATCAACTGAATTAATTAATTAAATTGAACTTTATTACGTAATAATTAGCTGGTTGTTTATCTGGACATTTCCGATGCTGGCTGTTATCGAAATACACATCACGATATACATTATATGTTTATATTTGAAGATGCGAAAATTCACATCACAGCATTCAACAACTCTTTTATCGACATTCCCGTGAATAAATTATATTGCAATTGTTGAATTGTTAAATTGTCGAGGCGTGTTTACAAGACATTATAATAAATTAATGAAAAATGCGCGCAATAGGTGACACGCAATTACAAATATCTGCAATCATTCGTTCGCGACGTCGAAGATTAATGAAAAAATTGTTTTTTTGCGATTCTCTCACGCGATTTCCTGCGTATCATTTGTGAACTATCAATCAGTAATACTAGTAATGTAATAAAATATGTACAAATTAATGCGCTGATCAGTTACGAAATCCCGTATCGCTCGAAACAAGAGAAAAAAAATATAGGATCATTTGCTGCGGGGATTTAAAATAGCTCAGATTAATTAAGCATCGGAATAAATTTTCAATCCAGAAAATGGGGAATTTATTTGCCGTAATATCCTATAATTACATTTCTCACCATGTACAGAAATAAATTTTTCCAAGCTCGTCAGCTGTTGCTATGACAGCGCGTTTTATTTTACCTCGCTCCTTCCTTCTCGACTCTCCGATGTTGATTAATAATTTGTTAATTTAAAAGCAAATACAGACAGCATTTTTTTAGTCACAGACAAACGAAAAATAAAAACAAAAACTGCAATCTTGAAATGTATATGCGAGCCAGCAAGCTTTCGAAATGTTTGATTAAATAAAGTAATAAAAAATATCGGGTGGATGTATTTAACTTGCTGAAGCAGCGACACATTTATTTACTGTATATTTCGAATTTCCACACAAAATATTCGACATCTTTCTTTTTAATTTATTATCCTGCATCGTAATAACGCAAATATATAGTGTAAAATAATTATTCCTGGCTACTGCATTTCTAAATAACTTCCATTGTACATTTAATAATTTAGATTTAACCATTTAGATTAATACTGTTAATTTTCATTAATTATTAATTGTAACAATAAACTATTGCGTAGTCAATTTTGCGTTGATGTACATAATCGCGAAATTAGAAAGGGACAAACTTAACATGCAAAATTACGTAATTCCTATTACGATCGATATTAAAAAATTATAAAATGTATTTTAATTTATCATTATCAAAGAAAATTATACATATACATATAAAATTATATATATATACGCCATTATACACCATTATAATTATACGCATTAGTAATTATACGCATTAGTGAAATTAAATTACAAAAATATCTTAGTTACTTTAATTATTTTGTATGATATATATTTTATAATAACTTAATTATTTCTATAAAGATAAATGTGTCTTGCATATTATATACATGTAAATAATTATTAGTTTGTTTTTTTTCATTATCTTTAATAATGCTTTTTTTTAAAGATCAATAATAAACTAAATAAACTAAATTAACCAAAATTAAACAAATTAACCAAAGTACCAAAGTATGATAAATATTATTATAAATGCAACATTTAATAGCAAATATTGATATTAACTTTATAGCAGCTGTTTTTAAAAAAATCTGGATTATGATGAATTGTATGTTTTACCCAATATACAGCATCTTCCACCAGCGGCATCGGACGATCTCTGAATTGAAAAGAAGCCTTTCGTGCCGTTTTCGTGTAACTGCAAAATAATATACAAGTTAAATGTAATATTAATAGCTTACTATATAAGTGTCGATAGATATACATACTTTGTTATAATCAACGCAATTATTACGACACACAATAAACGAAATCTCTTACTGCAGTTAAATCGGCCTTTAATTTATATAATAGAATTGTGACTTAAGTTTATAATAGTCAAATTATAATGCTAATTAATACGTTGAAAAATGCACGGTATTTCATCCACTTAAATTTTGATACATATAACATTTCATTTTTATTTTGAACAAGGGTCATTTTGTGTGTACCAATTGTGCGATATAAAAATCTTCATTCTTTAAAACACAGACTCTATACCTCTTGTTCAATAATATTTCGTTTAAACTACTTGAGAAACGTTTGTACGAAAATTGTTGCAAATTCAATTGCAATGTCAGTCCCTTCTCTACGACATGAGCCATGTTTAAAAAGTGATCTCCGAAGAAAGGTGTTCCTAAGATCGGCAACCTGCAATAAATCGCTTCCTATAATCCGAGCAATCCTCCGTGATTGATTAGCAGTCGCGTATTCGGATGACCTAAACATATTTACACAATAAAAGGCTATTTATTATTTTTATCGTGGTATATATTATATATTTACCATTGTATTATGAAAAAATTACTAACAGGGATTGAATTTAACTTTTTACCCATACAGCACAGAAAGATTGCAAATAAAAGATTGCAAAAATACCTTAATTATTGCAATATTGTAATATTGTAAATTTATTGCGTAATATAGTTGCAACATTGATATAATGTCAACATTAAAATATGCGCTTTTAGCAAGCTTGCGTTATAATATCAAAACCATGTTGCAGTATAATGTATCTGCAGCAATAAATATTTCTTTTATTATTATTGAATATAATTTGGAGTGCATTAATTTGGTGGTATAAATAAAAACAAATGTAATTAATGTATAATTTATTACAATTATATTTTAATGCAGATATACATAGTTTATACTTTACGCAGGTATACGTATATTTTGTACTTCACGCAAGTATATATGTATAAGTATATTTTATCTAACGCAGGTGTACATATCTTGCATTTTATGCACGCATGCACATCTTCACTTTACGTAAATATGTTTCTTTTAAACTTTACGCACAGGTGTGTATATTTTAATTTGTAATTTAATTCATGTAACAGTTTCTTATTGCTTGCATGATTTATTAGGCGTAATAAGATCCATCCGTTCAATCAACGGATTTCGGAATACGATCAAAAAATGCACTTCACAACAATTTACACGCGTTACAATATTTTATTAATTATAATTATGTCGCTGATAATGACTAAAAGTTAGCCGAAACGTTCGAAATGTTATAATATGTACTTCATTAAGATTATCTTATTTAACACATGTAATATCATTTATTTGCGCATCTTTTTGCGTGCCTAACAGCCTTTTTTTTATTAATTGATGTGATTTTAATCGTTGGAAGTTCCAATAATCTTGTACATTTCTTTTATTTATATATTTTGAATTTTATAGAGTTATGCACATTTTGTATTTAACTCTTATCTTGTGAGATAAAATTGAGAAAACCTGTATTCCATCCTCTTTAAATCTTTGTATCTTATGAATTTTTTTTATTAGCTGTTAAATCCTAATTCCCACAAGAACATGGGAAATTGTAAAGTTAAAGAAATTATAAAAATGTAATAAAAAAAAGACTCAGGGATCGATTCATCAGATTCCATCTTATTAATAGGATTAACGCATTGTACACATTTTTTGCACTTTATACTATTATATATACACAGGAATGTATATTTTATATTTTATACATATTTTAAGCTTTATGCATATATTTTGTACTTTACACAGGTATGCATATTTTCTACGCAGGTATTTGTTAACATTGCAAACCAGTTTTTAAATCCATTTTTTATATCAATTCTCTCGACATTAAGGTCATTTTCCAAAATGACCTTACATATAAATTTTTTATATAAATCGATTCTTCTCTTATTCTGCGTATAAAAGTGTTAAGGCACGTTAATTAAGATCTTTGAAAATATTTAACATGCTCCAGTTAAATGAACAAGTTTCCAAACAATATACATTTCTCATTCTGCGTATAAAAGTATTAAGATACATTAATTAATATCTTTGAAAATATTTAACATGCTCCAGTTAAATGAACAAATTCTCAAACAATATACATGCATGTAGATATTTATATTTCTCTTTGAATCCTTAGCGGTGCTTGTGCAAGCCATTTGGAGGATTCTGTAAATTCGGCATCTGTAGTCAAGATATACGTATTATGAACGTAATCAAATTGCTCCTGTAAAATAAGAATATCATTTTAATTTCTGAAAGTATTAGTTAATACACAATGCATTTTAGGTTCTATGTTTCATACGTAATTCCTTTCATCTATGGATTCTTTGAATAACTTGAGAATCGATTTTTCTTTAATCTTAAAATGTTATTGGACGCAATATTTTATTTAAAATAATTTCCGTAGATTAAAGAAAATTCGATAGTCTCAGACATTCTGCATACCTTTTATAAGAATGTTGAACTAAAAAATAAGCGTACGCATAATTATTTGTCTAAGATCCAAAATCCATTTTTAAAGATTAATTATCCTTTCATCCCAGTTCAATTTTTACAGTTAAAGTCTTCACCATAATTTTCTGTAAGATGTTAAATATTATTAGTTATAATATGCATAGTATGTACTTTCGCTAATGAATCTTAAACTATTCAGCTAAAAAAATAGATTGATTTATACATAATATTAAAGCATTGATATAGATTGCATTCATTTTTACACTAATTATCAATAATTAATTATCATGCATGCAAAAAATATAACGATATTGAATTTAAAAATATCAATTTTTGATTAACATACAGAATATAAATGTAGACGTAAATTAGAGAGCAATATATAATATAAAATTTGTCTCGAAAATTAATTAGAATGGAAAATACTAACAAAGAATTAATATTAAATTGAATTGGTTATTCCTAAAACGTAACGTAATGTAACTTTAAATGAGATGAAATCTTTTGTATATAGATATAGAATAATATTTCGAAAACCATTACCAAAAACCATTGTATTGTATATATTAATTTGTAAATTAAAAAAGAAAACTGTTAGATAAAGTTCAATATTAAGTTATGTAAAATAAACATTTTAATAGAAGGCATATATTATGTCATACCTCTTTGTATTATTGTGACTTCTGTAATTGCTGTTCGAAATTATTCAAGTCTTGTAATGAGGCTAATGGGCTATCGCATTTTTCATCAATTTTATTTTATTTTTAAATTACCTTTTCTTCAAATATTTGTAGCATATTTTTAAATTGGTCTATTTTAAACAGATCAATTTTGTTTTAATGAGATTTGTATAATATTTTGAATTCTGAAACAAATAATTTTTTAATTTCAATGCAACACTTTATACTAAAGTAACAATAAAAATTCCAATGCAATACGTTATACTAAACTCACTAAAGTTAAGAATAACATGCCTTTCTCATTTGTAATATTTATTAATTTTTATAAACAATTAATTACCATGAGCAGAAAGAAGATTCTTCTTACTTCACTATCATCTTCTTTATCATCACAAACATCGCTGTAACATATTCTTGCTTTGAATGAATGAATCAACATCTTTGTCCAAGACCTACAAAAAAAAGTAACACTTATTCACCATTATAAAACGGTATTTATAGATATTATTTGCATTATTACTTACTGCAGTAGTAAACATGTTGTTGCACACCATATTTTCAATTTGAGCATAAAATTGGTTATGATAAACGTTTGATTTTTCCTAATAAAAGACTATTAATATTTATAAGTAAATTGATTTAATTTTATCACATTTTATCTTAATAACTTTTTTTGAATTATCTAGATGCCAATGATAAAATTCTCCTTTACATCTGACGTTATCTTTTTTTTCTTGAAGTTTGTAATAATGTTTGTATTTGTGAGGGCTCATTACAATAGCCTATGTAACTATTAATTGCGTTCTTCAATTCCCTTTTATTATTGCTCTTAATATTGTCAGTAGTAATATTGTATAAATTATCACTATTCCTTTGTATAAATTAGTCTCACATTGTCCATGATAATTTGCATATTCATTGTTAGAAAACAATCTCTCATTGTCTACATTAGTGCTATGTATAGTACAAATGTATGAGTTCCCTTATTAAAAATTTCAATTACATCTGAATCGCAGGGATCTTCAATAGAAATACAGATATACGCTTCTTTTGAGATTCTTCACAACATGCTGCAATGTCAATGCCTGTTTTATCTGCAATAATTCGTCTAATACGTCTAATACGACGTTTAGATGGTAACAGTTTCCTTTTTCGTGCGTTATTCATATTTACTTGTAATAATTACAGTACAGTTATGGATTTTGAGCTGAAAAAAAATTATAATACAGGATTTTAACCAAATATATAAATATATATCTGAATGATTCACATGCAATACATAGAAATGATCCACAAACTTACCAAATAATGCGGCATAAATCATTTAACAGTGATAAAACTGTAATAAAACAGACTGTAAAAGGAAATAAATTGGAATTAAAATACAAATCAAATAAATATCAATAACACAAAATATTATCTCGCAACTTTATTAAAAAATAGCGTTAATTGTGTAAAAATTATAGAGAAATTATAAGCATATATATATCATTCTTAGTATCACAATAAAAATTAAGAAAATATCCAATAAAACTGTCAAAAAGAATGTTGCTGATTAATTTTTTAAAAATTTAGTTGAATAAAAATATTTCTAATTCAACACTATACTGCATAATTAAATAATTAAAGTGGACTATTAAACATCAACAAAGATACCGAATATTTTTCATTGTGATAGACCAATAAACATTAATCGACATACTTCAAGTGCAGCTGAATATAGAATGCAGTATAACCTCAAAACAATCGAGCTCGGTTAAAGATAATTTTACTTACCTCCTAAATAATTTTATTTTACTCCTAATATAACTTAATAAATTTTTATCTTTGCACTTATTTTGTAATGTATAAAATTACAATATGCTCAAGAAATCAAAAGATCAAGAGTTTATTATTGTAATATGGTTATAGACAGTGTTTTGTTATGAGAACGGCTTTTTCGCGCATGTGCACCTCAGTACTAGAGAAATCCAGTAACGTATAAATGTAAAAGATAAATACAATTTTGGCAGCTGTAATATACTATTATTTATGCAATTATATAATTAATATAATATATATTTATTAAATATTCTTAAATAAACTTCATTTTTCATCCTAGTCTAAAATTTTTAGATTTGATCCTTAACTTTTCTGCTGCAAAAATTCTGTTAAAACTATAATTACTTATCTTCTATATATACGTTACTGGATTTCTCTAGTTATACACTGCGCGAAAAAGCGACTCATAACAACATTAAGCGAAACTCTTTTCCGCGCACACGCGACAACGGCGTGTGCGAATGCATTTAAAATGAACTCCATACATTGCAGTTCTTAAATTATTAAAATAACAATCATATATGTGTGATTGACGCGTATTTCCACATGTAAAACAAATAAATTCATATCTCAAAAGACAATGGTTGTTGCGTCCATTAAACTAACATATATTATATATTATATATAGGTATTATATATAGTTACGCGCAGTATTTTTCAGTGTCTCTAACAATGCTGTAATCGTGCTACTACCTTGCGTCGTAACACACAAATAGCATTTTTTGTTATTTTCTGCTGAGCAATATCTGCGTATAATTAAAGCAAGATTTGTGCACTGTACATACAAATAAACTGTTTGCAGATATTTGCTACAAAAATTGAGTTACTTTGAATCAGATTCTTTTTGTAACTGCAGTCTATAAACAATTTGTTAGTCTGTTAGCAGACTGATTTAAGATTCTTTCAGCAGAAGTAACGTGCAAATTCTAGCGAAAGAACGCTGCAATTTTTACATCAGATTCTTGACGTCCTGCCAGCAGGCGTTATGATCCGCTTCCTCAAAGTTACAGCAGTCTCGCAATAAATTAATAAAGGAAGGGGGGGGGGCAAATAGTGACGGATTTTTTCCTCTCTCTCCTACAAGCTAATTTTAAGTTTACAAGATATGATTTTTCATTAAAAAAGTATGTACTTTCCACTTTCAAATATACAAAAAACTTAATTAGAGTTTCCATAAGTCATGTATACAAGCTAGATTTTCATAAAAACTGAAACCTACATTTTTCACTATTTGCCCCACACTATAGGTAAATATTGACACCCTATGGAACAATTACAAAATATATAATTCTTAACTCCTAATCGATCTTTCTTTTGACAATTTGATTAGATAAGGTAATTTATATTAATTTCTATACTCTCCTATAAATTTTATTGATAAATAATAGTAGTAACATTATTTGCTAGTATTTCTTATTGAAAATTACATTTATTCTGGATCTTGTCTGGTAACTAATCTTATCCCAAATCAATTAGAAAAATTAAATTCAAATATCAAAAAAGCTTTTTGACTTGTTATTATTTACCTAAATATTAAAAAAGCTTTTTGACTTGTTATTATTTACCCAACTAAAAATTGTCATTATTTTCCCCAGGAGCTACTTTTTCCTTTAAAACTTTACTGAGAGAAATAAAATTAATATACAAGCAGGGATTATATCAAATAGAGGAAAAAGGTATAACATAAAATAGGTTAGATCTCATTCAACGATTCAGCAATTAAGAAAATATCACTTCAAATTTCAAAAAAGATCCAGGGTTTACATTATTTTACGAATGAAAAATTTTGAACTTCTCCGCTAGCTATATTTGGTTTTTAATTTTTACGGCTTTTGCAGAAGATGATTAGATGCTTGAGAACTGTTTTTCTATTAACGAGTATAGTGGTAAAATTAAAATAGACGCGGGAAAGAGAAGAAATTTAAAGTGACACTATTTGTCCTCTATCACTATTTGTTGCCCCTTCCCTTATATATTATATTATAGTATATTATTTTATGCAAAGATTTAAACAAATTAAAGACTTGTTTTTGATTTATATCTCATTACAAAAAGGATCATAATCTTATGATCTGATGATATGATGATTAAGATTTTGAACTAAAAAATATGTAATTAATAATATGTGCATACACGAATAGAATGCTTTCAAATATTTCATTAATTTATATGGATATACATTGTATACATAAAAAAATATTTACTTATTAGATAAGAATAATTGATCGCGCGAGAGATATAAATGAAGCAAATAACATAAGCAATCAATTCAAAATCCAACCATTGTTGATTCAAAATTCTCAAACTGTTACGATTTTGAATCTTATATACAGATTAAAAAACGAACTTGAATCGAATCTACTGTGATTCGATTCGATTCTATTCGAATTTGAACTATTCGCACACCTCTAAAGAAGAAGAATTCGCGGTTGTGTGTCTGACATGTAACATACACACACACATACACACACACACACACACACACACACACACATTGTACGTTTGTAAAACACATTTGAAATACCTAATTATTTTTCCCTTTGCCACCGCGCACACACGTCGCGTTACTCGGGAAGATGCACATCTTGACGATACACCGAAACTGAAATAGGTTCGCTCGTGTAAATGTTATTAAGATTACACCGCGCCGTCGAGATAAATTGAAGTTCCGGAAACGCGAATATAGAACAAACCGCACAATGCCAATCCTGAGAAACTCTGTGTTAATCCTAAAATTCGAGACTGCTCTTGATGTATGCTCTTTAATATAATTGTACTTCAAATTCAATTAATTGCTTCTTAAGGTGGATAAAATTGAATATTCGCGAAATAGCTGTCTCGTACAAATTGCCCGCATTTTGAGATACGACGTTTGAATCTCTTATTGAAGAATAAAATCGCCTTTTTACAAGGTTTTTATTCATATTTCATAGAACACATTTTATAATGATGAATATCTAATTTATCATTGTTACTATCGTAGTGAATGATTTGTTTGTACCAACTTAGGGTTGGGTAGTGGCTATATAGTTAAAAAGTTAAAAAATTAAATAATTTTAAGTTAACATATTTACATTTTAAGCTTTTAATTTTTATTATAACCTAATTTAGTTATATTTAATCGGTAACCATTAACTTTTGATCTAACTTTCTTGAAGTTACATTTTTGGTGCTTCTTGTAAACCCAAAATAAAATATATGTCTAAGTTAGTGTCTTCAAACTCAAATTTGAGAACACACATCAAGGCAATTGTAATAATATAATAAATATGTTCTGACCGCGGGAAGGAATCATTGTTCGCGGATCTTCCGTTGGGAGAAGTCCTTTGAAATCGGTCCTCTTTCCGCGGCTCGACAGAAATAAGTATAACAAATATATATACTTTATTTAGAAACCCTAAAATTATAAAATGAAAAAAATTTAACTTTAACTTTTCAATTACTTTTTTTTATTAACTTAACTTTTAATTAAATTAATTTTATTATGGATTAACTTGTAT